CAGTTGAGGCACATGTTTAGCTAAGAAATAGGAATTGACTGGAAATCCAATTTTTAAAACTCCAGTCCACATTCATTCTCAGACAAAACAAGTTCCACCAATTAATTTACACAATATCTAAGCAACATAAATATCAATCCTCTTCGGACTTTCCCATTCGAAATTTCCACAAAATATATTGCTCTATGCTCATAACCATAAACCACCAAATTGCGCGGCGCTATTTCAACTTGGAAAACACTTTTGCCTCTTCACTTAGTCACATAATTATACTTAAAGCCATTTTCAGGTCGGCAGATGCTTTCAACATGTGTGTTTAACCACGTAAGCAGCCATAATTTTGCTAATTTTAGTACGCATAATAACCGACAACAACAACATGATGCCACTGGCTATAGTGTCAACATTCAAATATTCTCACAAGTGCTTTAAGTAGCAAACGCCACAACCACAAAGATGGATAAAAGGGCGGAAGAGGGAGAAAATAGAAAACTAAGGCGACGCCTGTTAAAATTAGTAGACTAACACACAACAGTACATTTGCCATCGTACACACCATAATAACTGTAATTGCTTTTAGTGGTGCTACCCAGCATCAAATGCTCTAAAGTTTTGTTGCTTATTAAAACGGCTAAATATGTTTTATGTATAGTTACTAAGTTAACTGATTGTAAAATGTGCTGGTAAATTCATGGACTTGTAAAAGATATTTACGTATTTATGGAGACTTCTACGGTCTATCTCCCATATGGTTTCGTTACAAGCATCCGCGAAATTTTTTTTATATGGTAATACAAGCTAATGCAAACACATATATAAACAAATTATAGTGGCAGCTAATTAATGGTGCTGTACTCATTATTTACTAATGTTCCACAAATTAGAGACATTCCTCGTAAGCAAAGTTTTTTACTCGAATATTTAGGAAGTGGATGATTAGCGCTATTCGCTGCTGTGATTAATGAATTGTTTGCTTGTATTATTAAGCCATATACGACTCGTGTCAATTTCAAGTTGATTTAAAAGACGCTTAGGCGTATACGTAATTAGATACTAATTGACACGATGGATGGAAGGAAATTGCTGCTGTTACTGTTATATATAATTTTGAAATGTAAGAATTATATCGAGCAAGAATAGTAAAACGCTATTTTTTTGCTGGAAATGTGTCAACAAATTCATATTATCTCATTCACAATGATCGGATGAAGCAAATAAGTTCAATTAAAAATCACATTTGGTCTGAGTGTTTCGGAAAATATTACCGTCAATATGCACATCTCCACATATCGGATAATTTCTGGTTCTTAAACAAGATTGCTTTCTTCCCTAGCTTTTCTTTCAAAGCTAATTCATTTTCATATACACTAAAGTCCTAGAGGGTCCCTGGTTCTTAGACATGGCAATTTACTCACATCCATGTGTTAGTGTACATATAAATATATATACTATGTTCCCAAACAGACAATTTGTTTCACAAAGCTGCAACTAAAGCTGACCCTGACGTATAACCATATAGCGGCAGGCAGTTGGTGAAATATAGCCCATACAAAGTGAGAACACACATACTATTACTCTCAACATGTCCAAACAAGACACAAATCAAGTCGAATGTGCGAATGAAGAGACAACGTGGAAATACTGAAAAAAAATATGAAAAGCAACAGCCTTTGTTTATACATAAAGTTCTGAGTTGTGTAAAAACGCGTGCATTGCTGGTCATCCGTAGGGGAGCTCTAGAGCAGAGTATGAGTATTTGTGTGTTTTCACTTCATACAGACTTCGTCACAGACGTACAAATACTGAATTCGCAAGGTAGTGCTTCTTTGATCATTTCAGCGATAACTGATATATGCTCGTCTTCGGGAAAGGAAGTAAATGCACAATAATTTGATAATGAAAGATTAGCTACAGAAATTCAAATGCAATTCCATTAATAATTTTAAATATTTCTCATTTTCTTACATTCAAAGGTAATGGAAATCATAATCAAAGAAAAGTAGCTCATGTAATTCAAGGGAATTTTTACTTTACTACAGCGAGGGGTTAAAGGAGCAAGAAATGGATGCACCAACGAAGCTGTTAGTAAGGAGCCATTTTGTGGGGAAATTCCTCAATGCTGGTTGTGTTTCGATGACATTCATCAAATGAGTTGCGGTCGGAGTGAAATCGTACATTTATAGTGGCATTCGTTGCATTAACAGTGTTATTTTTAGTTGCAATCTAAAACTGCGGCGTCTTGTTGCTCATATTCATAAAACTATTTTCTATAAACAGATAAAATGCATGATTTCGCCAAAAACAAAATCATTCACCACTGTGTTGCTGACAACGCCAGAAAGTACACCAAAGCTGGCGCTTATAGTTTTGCAATCAAGTTTGAATTTTTTCTTGTTTCAGCTTTTCCAGCATGTGAGTTCGCCTTTGTACTCTCGATGGAATTTGCATGCATGGGACAATGTTTTTAATGGAATTTGTGCACCTGCTGATTTTGCTGACCCGCACCATTTATTCAGGAAACGATGGTTGTTGTTTGCTTCTAGGTGGATTCCTCCAACACGAGAGTGCGGGATAAATCAGCCGACAGCGAAAACAACCAGCAGTTTGCAATCTCAACATTTTCTGCATAACTGTTCTATTTTGTATTTTGATTTCATTTTTATTCTGCTGAATTTGGTATGCAAGTTTAGATGCAAAAATTGCATTGATGTTTAACTGCAATGATCGGCATTTTTAAGTCTCAATTTGCTCAGCCGAATAGTTTCGATAAACAAAACTAATTGTTGTTGTATTTACTGATTTAAGTCGTGAAAGCGTTACATAAAATAAAGAATACACGAAGGATTAAGAAAGCTCTTGAAATGCTTTTAAGATTACAATTAATGGCCTTAGCTTCATAGGGCTGATTGGAGGAATTGAACCGCGTGCCCAGTTATGTATTCAAGAGCATATTATTTCAAGGGATGTGAGAATAGGAACTCATACCATGCAAATTGCTATTCTAATTCAAAGTATATAAACATTCGAAAAAGCTTTCTAGAATTTATAGATATCATAAATATACAAATAATATATCGACCTTAATGTTTTTTAATGCCCATAAAACTCGTAAACTAAACCAGAGGTACAAAAAAAATATGTTTTACAGAAGTTATGAAAGTGCCCGCCGCAATGCTATACGCTTAAGCAAAAATTCTATTTCTATAAAGTATAAACTTCATCAAAACAAAAAATTAAGTATACATCATTATAAACTTACATAATTATATACTAACTTTTAAAATTTGCAATTTTTTGCCACTTACGGCTTGTTTAATAAGTCCACTTTTATTTTAAAATTCAGAATAATATTTCGAAACAAATAACGGATATTTCAGAGCGTAGACTTGGAGCAAACAGCACCAACTGTGACTAAGATAAGGAAGCTAATGACAGTAAGAACCGCAAAAATACTGAACAAACATTTGGCTTCCCAACTCTGGAAATAAATGAAAAAATTAAAGCGACTGCGACATTTGATGACTTTTGGCTGGTTGCAACTTTACTAAATAAGAGGTAGGACCCCTGGACTCATCATACAAAAAGATGTTTTATGTCAGAAAAACAGTATTGAAACGATTTGACGTAGTGATTAAAAATCGATATAATATAAAGAAAGTGAAATAGTTACACATATTGTATTATTTCCTCTATATTTTCTGTGGCCGTTGCAGATAGTAATCTGAATAAACACCTAAATACTTTGAATATTTTTCTATAATATTTTATATTTTCATGGCTTAATTCAGCTGTTTACAAGTTAATCTCATTCCTAACTTGACTAAAAAGAGAGAAACTTTGCAAAGTAAGTGAACACTGATCAGAGATTCAACAATATTTGAAAGCCTTAGTGCATATAGTTCGAGAATTGGTATATTAGCGAAATGTAATGAAAGTTAAGTGCCTTGGACAGACACCTTTTGCTGTTAGTGCATCTGACTTTGCTGTCGCATAGGTATTTTCTCATATAATATTAACCACACGTTGAAATATGAAAAAAGCTTTGAAAGCTTTGGTAATAAATTTATTTCGACTTTATGCAACCAAAATCCTGTAGAGTTAAAGCGGAAATGGGACACTAAATTACGCAAAAAAAATTTTTTTCTAAAGTTATGGAATACAAATGAAACTTATTAAAACTTGAATTCCGGATAATGTTTTCTCAAAGTTTTTTGGGAGAGGTAAATATTCAATTTAAGGTTGGTAAAATTAATATTTAAAATTAGGGTATATATTAGTCGACAGTTCACCTTATCATCATCTTATTCTAAAACCATAGCAAACACATATAGCGACATTTATTTCAAGCTTAATTGCAAAGACATACACCAACAAAATTTCAGATGACAACCTTACTGAGCTTTAATGCTGCTATCTTAGTCCACATTAATATACGAGATATGCTATAACCGTTAATGCCAGTAAGCTTGGCAGCCTTTAGAACGAGCTTTTTTATTTACTATTTACAAATCGAGCTACTGCGGAAAGTTTGTTCCAAGCTTTAAATTGAGGTTTTCAAAATTAACCTTTGACCTTCAACCAGTTAAATACAGTTACAAAATTGCCCATTTACAAAAACCTCCGTTATATAGAATTTGTGAATAGTACGAACGTAAGAAAAGAGAGTTGCCGGCTGATTTTCATTTGAAATTCTTTATTGTACTTCAATTTATGTATTTCTTTCAATCATTATGCTTTGTCACATTATATGTATGTATGTATATATCATCAATATAATTAATATATTTAGTTATCGTAATAATTTATTTAATAATAATAATAATTTGTAATAATTTCTTCTTGTTTTTTTTTTGTTTTTTTGTTTAAATCATTTATCTTTTGGTTTTCCGTATTTTTGCTGCAGTTTTAAATATTTGTATTCTTTATTTTGTCTTATCTCAATCAATCAACATTTATTTAAATTAAGTACTATTATTTTCTAATCAATAAACTGTTATTTGTTTTTTTTTTGTTAGTTTTTGTGTTTTCTTCATAGCACTAAGTTAATACATTTTGCTTTAACCCAATTAAGTTGCCTCATTTATTGTTTATGCTGTATTTTTTCGGTGTGTGTGTATGTATATGTGTGTTTTGTTCGTGTAAATATGAGCTAGTTTCATGGTGATCCAACTAATCTAAATCTATATAAATTAGTTTGTTAATTACTCTACTGCTGGTTTCTTACTCAAAGCATTTATTTCGGAATTTTTTCTAATTTTTTGTTTTTGCACACAGCACATATACATAGATATGTACTTGTGTGAGTATGTATGCTTGCGCCTGTATTTGTCAATTTTCAACTTTAGGTTACTTATTTTTTTAAACATTGAGTACATTATTTGTCGTGTTTTTGCTGTTTTTGCTTTCGCATTTGACTTAGGAAATAGACCAAGTTTCTCTTTTAGTGTCCTTTTTCTATTGTGTTTGATACATAGTTCTATTTCATTAATTTGGCTTAATAAGTAGATAGATAGTTGTTAGTCGTTAGATTTAAAAATTATCAATTCGTATGTGTATATGTGTGTGTAAAGATAAAATAATAAGTGTTTATGTTAGCAAAAATTTTCCAATGCAATGTAAAAGCGATTTGGTTTTCTTTTGGATTTTGTGTTTTGCTTTAATTTCATTTGCTCTTTAAATTTCTGTTTCAGTTTCTGTTTCTGTCTTAATTTCTGTTTCAGTTTCTATTTGTGTTTCAATTTCTGTTCCTGCTTCATTTATTTCCTTAACTTTATATAGGGCGGTTGGTACTCAAATCTTCACTGCTATGAATTTTGTTCGCCAAATTCAGCTTCACATTATTTTTGTGTGTATTACTGCTTTAAATGCTACATGGGCTTAGCCACACCTTTAATAATATATGTATATAACCATGTTTGTAAGGCTAATTATTAATTATACGCAATAACAACAATTACTAGTAGTATTATAAGTATTAGTTTTATCCTTTATGCTTATCACTAATGAAAATATTTCATTTAAATATTTTTAATTTTGCTCCGAGTTCCCAAACGCCATTAAGGAGTTCCAATTTAACCGTAGGAATTTTCTTCTCTTTGCTCTCCTTTACTTTCATTACAAATCGTTCTTTATCTTTTTTTTCTTCTTTCTCTTTTCTCCTAGCACTCGGGCAATCATATATGCACTTACACATATCTTTCTGTTTATCACGTAAAGTATGCTAACTGTGCCGTTACTCTTCAGCTGCTTCAAAAATTTCGAACAACAAAAAGCATAATTTTTTATATTTTCTTCATCTAGTTATGTATATTGTTTATTCGTCTACCCTTTTTTAATTATTTTAGCTTATATTTTAGTAAAGTATATAGATCCACATTTGCCGCTCATTTTTTGCTCTGGACTCTGCTCTTCCTCGCGTTTTCTGCGTTTTTCAACAATCTCCATTTTTATTTTGTTTTTGTAAGTGTATAATTTGGCATTTTAATGGGTTGAGTACTTGACGAGCATCTAAATTAACTACATTTCCTACATCCATTCATATGTCTACTCTAAGATTATTCTATTTCTGCTCATCTGCCTTTCTGCTGGATCAATGCGATCTTCATTTTGCTTACCTTGTTTGCTTACTTTGCCCTTGAGTTATTATTTATATATTTTTTTTGTTTTTGTTTATGTTTTTTCTTTAGGTTTCTCGCTTCGCTTCATTTGGTGAGTGGTTTTGAACGGTGGTTTCATTTATTTTATGCATTTTTAGAAATATTCAACATTTATTTTGTAGTGGTTAATTTTTTCTAAGTTTTTTTCAGTTATAACTTGCTTACTTATTAATTAATTTTTTTGTTGTGGAATTTACTCGGTTATATTTGCATTTTGCCACTGTATCGCCTTTAAATTTAGCCCACTCTTTAATTTTGATTGGTTTTATAATTATCTTTTAATATAGTTAAGTACATTGTAATTGTAAATAAAATACATACTCGAGCGAGCTTAATGGGAGATAATTGTCTAGCCAACAACCAATTATTACTTGTTTCCTTTAGCTCGTTTTTTGATTGAGAATCGGTAGTAGCGCTGAGAGTAAAAATTCAGTGTGCGTGAGAGATGGTGAGTTTCAGAGTGTGATGTGTGGAGTGACCTACATATTTGTGACTGACTTCATTTGTATGCGTGGAAACTAAACTAAATTACTTAGATTAATTAAAAAAATAATTTATCAATTTAATAATTTTGAATATTTTTAGTACATCTTTTTAAAATTGCTGACCTGAAAAATTGTTTTTTTTTTTGTTTGAAAGTTCAAAAGTTTCTCTTGAATATTTTTTGCTATCTAAAAAGTGTTTTCCACTTTTCGTTTTCGCCTTTTATACACAAATATTTTTAAAACTTGCATCTTTCATTAACTTATAAACCTTATTTCTAAGAATGTTTGTATGCATTAATTTTCTGTATATTAATTTTAGGTAACACACAATATTCAATTAGTAACTCCTTCAATCTAAGTGGTTAAATTTTATACTGGAAATATATATGTATGTATATAGGTTAAATGCTAGGAATATGCCAACAATTTTTTTTCTGATTTTTCAAAAATTTTATAATTTTTTTAAATTTTTATTTACTTTTTTATACTTTTTTTCATTTTTTTTTAATTATTTTGCGTAACATCTTTTATAAGTCAGACACATAAGTAAGCGGCTGCAAGTGCCAACTAGTAAGGATTGATTAGTGAATATTGTGAATAAATGCAACACCGAATTTGCCAATTTTACTTGAATAAACAACAAACACTAAGCCCTGCTAGGCAACTGCTTATAACATAGTATTATATATGTATGTGTAATTTTTTTCAATAATCGAACAGCGGTACATTTGCTTAGTTAGTGCATTTTAAGTAGCGTTGTAGTATATTCAACATTCAATATATTTATCATATTTATTAATAATACTTAGTATATTCAATGACCCAAATAACTGTTGTTTTTCCAATCGGTTGTCGTCTCGTAAAATGCCGTTTTATTTGCGTTGGCTCCAGTCTGTCATAAAGAGGCACGGGCGTCCTGTGAGACCTTCCACCGCAGTTGCCTCGCATTGTTGGTATCTCGCTTTCGTTGCATACATTTTGGGGCTCGAAAGTTGTGTGTGCACGAACGACGAGAGAGCAGCTGGAGCTGTCCCGCCCACACACATGCATGCAGAGAGTGCATATAAATATGTGAGCGAGGTGTAAGCGCGTAAAGCATCATTTTACAAAAGGTGTGCGTTCTTACAAAAGTTTTCAAAAATATTTGTGTACTAGTGCGCAAATTGCAAATTGCATGAAATTGAAACTTTGTGGTCAGCCGACCTCACACTCGCGTTTAAATAAAAGTTATTTAAAGTCAGAGTTGTATTCATAAATAAATTATTTTTCTTTAAAGAATTTTTTTTATGGGTTATGTTACCTAATATATATAATACTGTAAATAACTGTTTAATATTAACCTTTTCGAAAGAGCATAAATAATGTCGTACTTTTAAATAAAATAAACTTAAACATAAATGAAAATATAAACGAATAAAGAAATTATTATGTTTACTACAACTAAAATGTGCATATGTGTTAGTTTGTAGTGTTTTCTTTGTTCTTTTCGTTTATACTTTGCATTTGTCGCACTGCTCTTCTTTACATTTAACTAAGTGGGGAGATTGTGGAGCAAAGTTCCAAGGTGACAACTACCAAACTCGCTTTACATTTCTCTTTTTCATATTTCCTTTAAAATAAACTCTTTTTCTGCTTCAAATTTCTCTTTGTTGAAGTTAATTCACCACACTTCGGCTCCGTTCGTTGTCCGGCTGTGACATTCAATTCGTCCACCTAAATCTCACTCTCTCGTTTCCTTAGAACTTTTTTTCATAATTTTTCGATTATTTTTAATCTTCTCTGTCTATTAAAATTACGACTCGTGGCGACATTCGATAACCGTCAATCAGCGCACATCCCTTTTGAAGTCCGCGCCAAAGCATAGAAGTATCCAATATGTGATTTCCTTCTACAAATCACCAATCGCTAAGTTTCTAAATACTAATAATAGTTATGTAACGCGAATTCCTAATTTTATATTTTCTCTTTGCACTTCGAGATTTCCTTAAATAATTGTGATTTCAGCAATAGACAATTCACTTGAAGTAGCAATTGCTTAAGCATTTAAGCACTCAATTCATCATTTTCTTATTTCTTTCTTTTCTGGAGTGCTGAATAGTATATATGTGTATATGTGTGCGAAGTGTATATGTGTGTGAAGTGTATATGTAGTGATGTCTTATTAATAATTTCTAGTAGCAGATTTATTTATTCTATTTTTTAGTGACGACTAGGTAAATGTTACGGGTATGTTTGTGGGTGTGCTATAAGTCGACAAGCTGAGAGCAACTCTTAAGGTTTTGTAAATCGGAAACAAAATCATGGTAACGAATTTAGTGTTTTGCATAAACAAAACGCTTTAAAGGAGAGATCAATCCCATCAGTGCCCATTCTAGCGCTGAATTGTGTATGTTTGCTATTTATGAGCGATTGCGTGTGAGTTTATGTGTATGTGTTTAGGGTTGCATTGCAAAACTGTCATTTCTTTTGATTTTTCTTTTTCTTCAGTATTTTGTTGACCACAGACTTGAAAAGGTTCTGCTTTATTCATAAATACCCGAGCGTGGCGTATGTCTTCACGAAAGTGCCATCACTGGTTGTAACATTTCTGAAATATGAAATAGCGAAATAATAGTTAATAATCCTCTTTAAAGATGTCACGTCAATTGCACTTACTCGTCCTCCCAAGGGCACACCGCATTACGGTCAGTCTCCGACTTTGTTCCGCTGACGATTTCCGCAGCTCCACCTGTCGATGTGCTGGCCTTTTGCTCCTTTTCATCCAAGGATAGTATTTTTTTGCCTTCGGCACTGCGCTTCTTTCGTCGCTTTTTCACCTCTTCAGTGACCACTGGTATTACATTCTCAATGATGGTCGGCGACACTTCGTACATGTTCACAATTGGCGTTGGTGTTGTTGGTATTTCCGCCAATTCCTGCATAGAGCACATTTCTTCGCATGGCTCATCATCTACGGTGTCTATGTCCATTTCAGCAAGTGGTGCCATGGATGGTGCTGGCGTCGGTGCTGGAGGTATATAACCGGCTTGGGTGTCAGTGTCGATAATGTCATATTCGTAGTCTTCCTTGCCATCGGTATCGAATTGGAGACCTTCTTGATACTCGTCTGTAGTTGGTGAAAGTTCTTCCTGTGTCTCTTGTGCTGCTGCTATTTCTGCCTCAACGCGTAGCTGCTCTTCCTCTTCCATTGGACCAATGGGTGGTGGTGGTGGCGGTATCACTGAAGCGGTAACTAGCAGTGCGCCCGAAGATATGGACGTATGCAGTTGTGGCGATTGCAAAATGTCCGGCGTGATGGCAGCTGGTAGCAGCTTCTGTTCCATTTCTGGCGTTTCCGGCCGGGAGTTACCTCGGCTGGTTGTAGGCGTTCTTTGAGTTGCAGTCTCGATAACATCACCTTCGGCCAGCGACGGCTCTGTAAATATTACAATTGCGGTCTTTTACTGAAATTCTTACACAATTAACTTACCTGCGACTGAATCCTCAATATGCAAAGCTTCTATCTCCTCTTCAATCTGTATGGAAGGTGTAGACAGCTTCGGACTTTTCCTTTCCTGAAAGTTATAGCTTTCAATTAGCTCTATTTGTACCTCTTGCACAGGTACCTCCACATCGGTTTCAGATATGACAATGCTACTATTGGCGCTATTGCCGCTTCCACCACTTCTTTCTGCACCGCCCACATGATCGCTTTGAGAACTCTCACAAGATATCACCTCGACTGGCTGATAGTAAGCACAAATATTGTCATCCGGAGGTGGTGGTGTCACCTTAGTAATGGGCGGTGGTGTCGGTGTAGGTGGGGGCAGCACACACATTTCGGATGCTGAAGATTCACTATTTCTCTGGGATATACTTAGCTTATGCAGCTCCTCCTCTACTTCGGCATCCGAGGAGGAGGGAGGATCCTTCGACACAATCGTTGATGAGCTACTAATTGCCGTTACTGCGGCCATGGTCGCAATACTTTGAGTGAAGAGCGGTGGCGGTGGTGCGGGAAGTGAAGTGTCCACAACACTCTGGCTACCCACTGTTGGCGATGGGCTAGAAGAAGTTTTCGCTGAAACAGATGTCTGACCGAATTGATATTCCGAAAGACGCCTGCGAGATGTACGAAATTATACATGTGTATAAAGAGTGCTAAAATTATAATAAAAAAATACACTTACGACTGTGTGAAGGACATTGAAGCTCTGCGTTGCTCGGTGAAGTTTGGAATAAGACGTTTACTCGCCTCGCCGCTATCCACGGTGTTCTGATGTCTTATACCCAAGTTGCGTTGAATGCGATCCGATACATCAGTGTTGTCCGAAGATGTGCTAGAAAAATAAGACAATTAATGTTCTGGTTTGGGCATCTATTTATTGAGTTTTATACCTGGTGAGACGGTGCGTGGCCGACTTTGTAATATTACCAGCCGTTGGAGCAAGGTCACCTTCTTGCTCCCAGGGACATATGGACAATTTAATTTGAGACTTTTGAAATGGAGTGGGTGCCTGTGTGTCAGGGGGCTCATCAGGCACATCCCATGGGCATACAGCACTACTGGAAGACTCCACCGTGGTCTCCAAGCGAGCAGTCTTCGGCTTGGTCGTCTCCCTGTGCAATTTTAGGAATCATTTAACGAAAATTGACTTCAGAATGTTTGCACACAACGGTTTTGGTAGGTCTTTACAAGTTTTATCATTTCCATAGCAAACAAACACACATATTTACAATAGTGCGGAAGTAATATTCAAAATTTTAGCATAGCAACAAAATAACAACAGAAAGAAAAAAGAAATCAAGAATGATGATTGATTCCAAAGATGAAAGTACTGAGTGGTTTCATCAAGTAAGAAAATTAGTACGGAATCGCCGGCTTGTGGAGACATTTTATACTAAACGATAAAGAATAATTGAACAAAATCACAACACTGAGGTGTACGAGTCATGGATGGGAGCAAGATATTCATTAAAACGAGCAACTGAAAATGAGGTTAGTGAAAGTATGTGCGAAATAGAGGTGATGAGTGACGATGGAGGGTCCAAAGTAGACCCCCTATCAGTTATATGGTTAATACAACACGCCAAGTTTGACAACAATTGTAGTTTGGTAAATTGTAGAGCAACATCAGTTTTTGAAGCAATTGATAGATAGTTGAGAGTTGATCAGAGATGTTGGTTGGGTTAAAGAGCAAATAACGGCTTACTGAAGCGAACGTGAGCTGCTCTCGCGATTTCCGAGTGATGAATTTTGAACAGCGACATCTGTGACCTGGAGTTGTGGCATGTCTCCTCTGTAAATGGACTCACTGCTGCGAGATCCAATTCATAATTAACATTTACATTGGAAAGTAGATTACCCAGTATTTTATGTATATTATTTGTTTTCGGGTGCACACATGGCGATTGCATTTATGTTATGTTTCGAACAAAAATTTGTGTATGAAAATATGCGAAAAAGAAAATCAGATTGAGAATTTGAATTTTAAATGTTTAACCAATTAAATAGTGTTTTAAGCTACTTAAAGATTTAATATATTTATACTTTATTTGATAATTATTTAGCGTTAAATTTTAGTTACATAATCTAGCAAAACAATTAAACAATTTTTAATGGAAAATTTAATTATAAACGTATATTTTTAATATTGCAAAAAAAGCTACATCTATGAGTAATGCATATTTGTCTGACGATTCATGACAACTGAAACTTTTGCGTGGAACCAATAGAAGGTTTCGTGAATATGGAGACCTGCCAGCCAACTCACCTGTATGGCATCTCACTCAAGTTGCTTTGTGAGTGCGAGTGTGGCACTTTTGAGGATATGTCCTTATTTACGCCGATCACAGCCAGTTCGTGAGCGGAGCCGGTAAGGCTGCGGTCGCTGCCACGTCGTCGCGCCAAGTTCCCTGGAGGTGGCGCTGCCATCATCGAGCCGCTCGCACCGCCGATATTCTTCGCAGTTGTGCCGTCGCCAAGATTCGGTTGGCTGGAGAGTGCCGCTGTCATCTTCTTCTTGGCACCTCCCACACCACCGAAGTTAAAGAAGCGTTTCTTGTGTGATGGGGGTACGCCTGCCTCCAGTAGACGTTTGTAGTGGTCAGATCGTATGAAACGTGGGTAACAGTCCTTCTTTAGTAGCAGCGTGTAGATGTGTTCCGAGGCAGAATCAAATGTGAAACGTGAGGGATTTTTTAGACCCTTCAACACACTCTCCATAGTTTTACCGTCAATATTAATTTCACATGGCGCGCCAGGTTTCAGAAACTCTCTGTACGTAAGAAAAGAGTTCAAATTTTAATGTCAAATTGTAAATTTGCAAATAAAATAAAGCCACTGGAATAGCCGATCTTACTCATAAATTTCTTTAACTTTACGCGGCACTTGAGAGTGAGACGAGCGACGCAACCGATTCACTGCGATCCAGAAACGTATATTTTCGTGAGAGTACTCTTTCTCCAAAAAGTGTGTAAACTCCTGCAGACCTGTTGGATCGGAAACCAACTCTTCTACCGAAATAGCCCAACGCTTAACTCGCTTCTCTGTGGGTGTATCCACAAAACTGTTGTTCAGCTGCCAAAATGTGATATCCTCAGTCACCCAAGGGTTTGACGGCAGTACCGGCTGCAAAAAGAAGTCATACTCCGCAAATGTCTCCGAATATACCACGAGTGACTCGCAAGCTTGTGACATCTTCATGCGTGTACGATTCAACGACTTACGCAGATAGTCCACCTCACGTTGCACATCTTCAACCGTTTTCTTCTTATTAGGCTTGAAGCCTTGGCGATCACGCGAAGGTATGGGGCATGGCTCCAAAGGTGTGAACTGGCCGGGCGGTGGACGGTGTACACGCCAATAGGCGCGTTCCTGTTTTACCATATATCATTTTAACAAAGAGAATAATTTCATATAAATTTAGATTCTTACTTGTGAGTCAACGACGATCTTATCGCCCTTCTTACGTTCCTTCGCCAATCGTACCTGCTCCTCAGCTTGCATAGTGATGAAATCCCACTTACCTTTCAAGCTCTTATGCAGCGATGCCAAGGCTTCAGTCTCATACTCTTCCAAGGCATGACGTTGTTTATTGCGCAATGAACGCTTCGCCAAGTAAATGGCGTACTCCACATTGTCGGGAGGCTTGTGCTGCCATGGCCAATAGTAGGGCGTCTGAAAACGATACAGCGAGGAGTCATCTTTCACGGCTAGTGTTTTGGTGTCATTAACGGGAAAGAAATAGCCGTGCAAACAGAGTTGGTTAGCGATGCTTAATGCCTCGGACTCCTCGATCATCAGGCGATCCATCATCCACTCAATCAAATCGTAACCTAAAGCAGCAAAATGTATTGGATATCAGAAGCGATTATTGAAAGTGGCAAACTTACCCATGAACGCCGATGGAATATTGCTGAGAAAGGTCTTCTGCACTCGCACTGGCACGGGTTTTTCATCATTCTGCATAGTGCGTACAAGTGCCTCCATCTATAAAACAGTCCATAATGAAAAGTGATGACTATGGGCGTACGAGTATGTGTGTAGGTAAACACTAATAAAAGTTGAGTTGGTAATAATATTGTGCCATCTGCCTTCTCTAACATATTACTCAATCAAGCAATAGTTGAGACTTTGGCCATTATGCCACTTGGTTACAAGCGGCTGTTATGAAATTATGCGCTTAAATCAGTAAATTTGAATGAATCCACTCGAATCCTTGAGAACTCGTCGATGGATTCAAGTGCCTCACAATGATAGGCGGGTTGCATGTGGGGACGTATGTGTTCAGGAAAACATTTCAGATTGCAGCAGAAAATGTTGATGCATTCCTCTGTGCATAACTGTGCTTAAAATCAAATTAATTAAGTTTGAAGGACGCAGCAGGCCACAGGCAATGCTGTAGGGGCGAGAATTATGCAAGCCATACCGTGATGGCTGCGGGCTCTGACTGCACCAACTCGGTTTTGTTTAGTTGTAATTGGTTTATTTCGTCATTGGTGTTGTTTTTTCTTTATGGAAAGGTTTGAAGACTCAACTAAAATGTTTTCAATCAGCTGTCAACGTCAACGGCATCAATGTCAGCTGCGAAATCCAGTTTGTATAAATTATATTTGTACCACTTGGCGTGTCGTATGAGTGCAAGGTTAGCGCAGAGTGAACGAACTCGAGCGTGTTCTTGAATGTACATACGCGCCGCACGCTCTTGAAGTTGTTCGTATGTATGCCACACATAGTCGGCAATACATACGATAATGGAGCGCAAGTTAAAGGACGAAGAGAAGTGTATGGAAATTGATGACCCCTAATGGATTTCTAATACTCCGAAACGGAGCGGCAACTGCCTAACGGGTTCGGCCAAGTAATTATGAATTGGAAGTTGCTGGATATAGAAAACGTTACTTGGAGCTCCATTTGTGTCCTATCTTTTATGTACTTGTAAACAATCAGTCTGGTGCTTCTTAGAAACTTAGAATCGATGTGCCTTGGGCGTAAATTAAACTTTTACTAAAAACCAGAAAACAGCTATAGACTTCCCTCACATATTCATATGATCGGTAAGATGCTCTATATATCGAGTAGCATCAAGACCTTCCATGCGAGAAAGAAAATGGTGCTATATAATAATTCGCAGATCGACTGCAATGCCAAAGAAACCTTAGTTAGTAAAAAAAAGAAGGAAATGAGAAATTTAATGGCCTCCAAAACAATTTTGAACTTTAAAGATTCATCGCCCGAGGGACATATCAAAATCAGTGAATTCTCTCATTATCACGGCTCTAACACCATTTTACTTAGTTGCTCTCTATGTTCACGAGCGTTAATTTTCGGAAGTCAGTGTTCACATGCAGAAGTTGTAGCCGCTAGCATACTCTGCCACTTCAGCACTTGTTTTTCTAATTTTAAATTTATCTTCCTCGCCTTAAAAACCAAAGCGAAAAATTCCCCATCAATTTCAAATATTACATTCATATATTTTTCAAGCCAATAAAGCATATTTTGAGAGACTACAATCCGTCAGCTTACAAAAAACTAACGGAACTGCATATGTATATTCATCGCAAAATGGGCAACACCGGTCTATTGCTCATCTTCAGCGTCTGCCTTAGTAAGTATTTTGTGGTTGCCTATGTAATTTACCCTTGTGGATTTACAGGTCTGACCCTGGTCGCAGTTACATTTCAGCAAACGGAGGCGCTGCGCCGCATCAAACGCGGCTCTACCGTCTCGCAAAACAAAACCAAGCTTTCCAGTGAACTTCTTTCGGATATGCGCAATACTTCGAACGACGTGCATTTTAGTGGACACACAATGACTGCCCTAGACAGCCAGGAGGGTATAAAAGGCCGCAATGAGCACACCTGGGCCAAAAAAGCTGTGGCCGCCGTTGAGCATGCTATCGATCAAGGTACGCACTTGCTCTGGGAATTCTTGGGATAAATTGCGTTTACCTAAAACACGTACACGTTTTATATTTCCTAATTTACTTTAGCGTTTGCTTCACTCAGTCACAAGTCCGATGAAGAAAAGGCGAAAAAGAGCGCACACAATCCAAGCAAGCCGAAAGATGGCAGCATCGCCGGCAACGATGTGCACATGGCTGCTCTATCCCATCTCCTAGCTAAGCGTGGCATCGACTCACGCATTTTCGAAGATATGCAGCGCGACGCTGAATTTGCTTCCGGCGAAGGCCCCGCAGAAATGCTAATAATTGACAATGGCTTCAAACCGATGATGGGCATGCAACATGGCATCAACTCTTATGCGTTGCATCAGCCCAACTTACGAAGCGTCGCCAGTAGCCTCAAACACTTCGCCGAGATTAGCAATGAGTCCAAGTTAAACAATCTGCATAGTCCAAAACTAACTCCGTACACCTCCGACATAAACGCCGACGTTATGTCCATTAAGCATAGCAACGATAACGGGATTAGTGAGTTGAATGGAAACAAGGAAGTTGCCGTGGTCAAGAGCAACAAGCGCAGTGATAACAATGATGATGACAACAGAGGCGAGTACAAAACGGTCGACAACCACAAGCGAGACAATGACCATGTGACGCACACAATTGGAGCGCATAATGGTGAAGTAAAGTACAATAGCGGTAACAACAGTAACAACCATATTAAGAGCAATAATGATGAGCTTATCGCTGGCAAAAGTCATTCCACCAATACTCTACAACAACACAGTCAACAATTGCAGCAGCAAAAACTACAAGAACAACCGCTGGAAAGCAAGGATTCATTACCTTCATTATTATCGCATTCGCACCAGTTGGTAGAAGGCATAGAAGCACCGAACAAATTGCAAGAGGTATCAGAGGGTCTACAACAACGAAATAAGCACGAAAGCGTCAAATCAGTGGAGGTTGGAAACACGCACAACATGCAGCAAGCGACCGCATTGGCAACGCCTCACCAGCAGCAATTGCAATTCGTTAAACATTCCAACGGGAAAATGATGCCAATGGAAAGCTTTCTCAAGTTCGCAAATATGATGCTTTATAAAGTAGGAGCCGGTAAGGAAACAGCTGTATATCATTGTTGTTAATAGGCAATTAGGTATCACCCTGTAACTCAATATTTAGTAGAAAACTGCGATCTGCCTTGATTTTAATGATCTTTTTAAGCACGCCGTGAGAAAAAGAGGCTTTAAACACTTCGTATTTTCTATTATTTTTTAATTATTCAATTCAATTCTTCAATTATTCGAATCCTATATAGATCAAAATAAACCAGTTGTCTGTTTTAGTTTTTAATCGAAGAAGTTCTGCGCGAAAAAAGAATTTAATTAAGTAGGTTTACCTGGGAACAGAAACATCAGTTAATGTCAAAGTTCTTCTTAAGCTCTTCATGTATAAAGAATGAAACGAACGAAATTTTATATTTTTTTTAAAACTAACTCGTATCAATTCTTTCCAGATGGCATTCCAATGCATGCGCAGGGTGCTCAACTCGCTCTAAGCGGCAATCCCACAACATCTGTCATAAGCATTGGCCCAATTGTGGATGGTGCTGAAGAGGCAGGTGCTATGGATTACCTCTATAACCCATTCGAGCCCCAACTAAACTTTTTACGCAACCCAGGATCATTCGTCGCTCCGCCTACCCTAATGGGCGCTTCAGCCAATAGGGCTTTGGTCTCGCGTCCCTTCTTGCTGCCCCCATACAGTTTAGCGAGTCCTAACCAACCTATCAATTTTATCGAGAACGCTTTAGATCTACTGTTAAATGCAGAAGAGGAAGGAAATGATGAAATGGAATTAGTTTGCCCCATACATCACCCGAAAAAGAAGTCCAGCGATGGCGATGTAGAAGCAAAGGACAAGGATGGCGTTATACAAGTGTGTTCATGTCGCTTCTTCAAAAAGAACAAGAACTAACACTGCTCACATGAATGTACTTTTGATGTGAATATATTTTATACGAGGCTATCGTTCAGATCCTCAACATTCAATTCAATGCAATAAATATATTTGTTCTTTATATTTAAATGCGATAAACAGTTATCATTACAACTATATTCTCCACTCACCTTGTCGAATGCCATCGGTCGCGCCAACTTTTCGATGGTTTGCTGTTGCCCACCAACTGAAGTGCTGCTGCTACTGCTGCTCGAGATACCGCCAAGCAGAGACGAGTTTGTCGACGAGTTGTGCGCACCGTACGCCTGTGGCTGATGGTGTGGGAAATGGTGCATCTGATGCGGAGGATGATGTGGTTGATGATGTGGCGGGTGCTGATGATGTGGGGTGTGCTGCACACCCACCGCGCTTCCGCTGAACGCGGTGGCCGCCTGCGTAGTGCCCGATATTGCTATAGCTGTGGACGCCAGTGCGGGGCTGGTGCTTGGAGCCGTGCTAGTGTTGCCCGCAGCGATTACACTAACAACGTTGCTCGCGGACGCAAGCACAAGTGCATTAGTGGTGCGGATCGTTGTGGTGGATGAGGCAGCGGCATTCTCAGTGGAGGCAGCGACTATTACATCTGCCGCCGGCGTTGTGGTAATAGTAAAGGACACTGCTTGGTCCTTGGAGTAAAGATTCAGTGCTAGGGTCGGTTTGACTTGCGGTACCAACGGTACCAGTTGTTGCTCCTGCTGCTGGGGGCGCAGCACTAGTTGTCTATCTCGGTCCGGCGGTAACCCGCCAGGAGGCTCCATGGCCACTGCACAAATGAACAATTGCGCCCTGATTGACACAATTCGCACCTAAACGTCAGCTGCGTTGGGGAATTTATTTTGTTCAACTTTGTGCGTAAACGCCAGTTTTGCGGCGTCCCTGTGGCTGTAGCAACACTATGACCGGACTAGACGACAAAGTGCGAGCAACGTTGGTGATATTAAATGATTTAAGTTCAGTAGTTTCCGCTCAAGTAGAATCAAATTGATATAGTCGGATTGAATTAAGTCAAGACGAGACGCGGTAAGGTAGCGAATCAATTTGAGACAGAAATTAAATTGAATTCGCGCAAGATAAGAGAATAGTTAGGTTAGTTATACTTTTCTATATTTTTATTTTTAATTTAATTATTTAGTTCTTATTCTTTATACTTTTGTGGAATTTTCTTCACTTTTTGATTTCGGCGTTTAATTCATCGGATTCTCTTTAGCCGAATTCCATCATATCTTTGTGTATAAAAATATTTGCTGCAATTAACAAAGGACAAAGTTAATAATTAGTCACAAAGTTGAATCTAAAAATGACAACAGTTAATAATAATTTCTACCAAAAGCCACGAAGGAGTATTAAGGTGCAATCAGCTGAGTTTTGTTTGTATGCTACTCTTATTGCATTTAATGCAAAAACTAAAACATTTATAGAGATCCACAAAACTATTAAAACAAAAAACAAAAAATTTATTTTTATACTTTGCTACGGAAAATCTTGAAATAATAGCTAAAACGCTGAAATATTTTTAAAACAAAAATTACATCCTCATTTGGGTATTTATATATTATATATACACCACTGAAACATGAGGTTATGTAACTGATACCATCTTCTTCATTCCATCTTGCCCAAGGCGAACTATTACAAGGTGAAAACAGCAACACAAAAACAATTTCTACTTACAATGCACAACAAGCCAATAAATTTGGCAATCAGAACATCGAAAGTAACGAATAAAATGAAATCATCTTCATCATCTTCTTCCCCTTGTATGAATTCGCCTTATCTTACCGTATGTACATTGGATATCTGCGACTATCGTACTTACAATGTTTCATTATCTTAGGTTTTTATTCCGTTTGTTCTCCTAAAACAGCATTTGTCGTTGTACCCGTTTTCTGTTATTGTTTTTTCTTAGTTTCTATTTCACCTGCTTCTACTTCGGGCGACCTGAAGCCGTCGCTGTTGGCAGCAGGGAGGTTATGTTATATGTGTTATATTCGTCTGCTTCTTTGAAATAAGCTAGTGTTGAATCTGATGGCACATTCGCGGCCGTAACGCCGTGGCCCCACAGAGTCGCTTGTAACTCCACCTACGGTGCTATAAAGACGCACTGCGGCGTAGCCTTTGGCGGCGTTTAATATGCCTACTTTTCGGGTATAAAAATTGGACCAATGGCGAATTCTGGAAATGTTTGGTCTTTCTCGTATTCTATTTGGAGTTGTTGGTGTTTTTTCGGAAGCTGTAGCCGTAAAAGCCACTCTTGCTGTTGGCGTTGGCGCTTCTGCTTCGCTAGCTGCCGCCGTTTTATCTGCAGCCTCAATAATGGGTGCGAGTGTTGTTTTGGTACTGAAAAGCGCCCACTTAAGGCCGCAATCCATTGCGTCATCACAATGACATCAATTCCAAAGCCTACAATAAAATGGTCAAAAATACAAATTATTAGTAATTATAGATTATATTTATAATTTTATACGTCGTATAGACCAGTCTAGAAAATGGTAAAAAGTGAAAGAAATTCATAGCAGGTTGAAAGTCGTTGGAAACGAAAGATAAAATAACACAAATGACAGGAAAATTCTAAGGTTGGGGAGACGATTAGCTCGATTCCTGTTAAACTACGCGTCTTATATTATATGTGATTTCACCGTGTAAATCTATCTCAATTAGTTTTAGGTGATACAAACAACCAGTATGTTTGGAAATAAGGTCAGGTTAAATCAAACTTCGTGTTTTTTTTTTGTACAAAATCAAATCAAAAAACCCAAAAACTTGATATTTTGAATTTTTGATAAATTTTGAGGTTGTGTGAAAAAAATGTTAATAAATTTAATGTCGATCTTTTCATTGCCTATAACTTTGCCAATTTACTTTTTTCTATAGGACTCGTAGTTGCGCCCGAAATTGAGCTAAGCCGATTTAAACCTTAAAAATGCAACCCCGCAAATTATTTGTCCTTTTATTATTGTTATTTTTCGTTTTCAATGGATTTCATCCAACTATGATTTTTTTTTTTTTGCTTTCAAAAATTATCTATCCTGGTCTTATACATAATATAAATGAGTATCGTAATTGAAAATAAAACAAAACAGTGATAGGAATTCAAAACGTGAGCGCTTACAGAAAAAGGATGGAAACGAAGGTATCAAAAGCTCCCAAAGCTCTATTCGGAGTCTAGTTTGGACAAAAAATTAAAATCGAAGTAATAATTGAAGCGCTTTCTTAAGTGGCATGCGTCTTCAGACAGCCAGAACAACAACGTTGTAAAAGTGTGCAAGGCTGGGGCTTGGGTCTAAAACCCAACATCTTGAACGGTCTGTTGTCCAGTGCTAAACATTAACACTTCCTAATGAAATTCAAGTAAAAGGTCAAAGACTTTTAGACCTCCTCGACATTTACAAAAACATACACACACAAGCAAAGAAAGAATGAGTTCGAATGCAGGCGAACACTAGATACTGTAAGTAACAGCGCAACACCCAACAAACAGCCCAACGACTTTGCATTAACCGTCTCTACGGTCGTACTATTCGCCCACAGATGTTCAGCAGAAAACCAGACTTTGCGGATTATTTGCGTTTAATTCCTGATTCTTCCATATTCATAGCTCCACTCAGTGCACAATGAATAATGATGACAGCTAAAAGTCACATCGTTTCATATACATGACGCATAAAGCAGTGCACACAAATATACACATACAAACTGGTCAAGTATTGTTTGTCGCCTACTGCTGCCTATTGAAATCTTCGGCTCTTTCCCCCGTAGAGAAATGCTAAAAGGTATATTAGTGGCTGCTCTTTACTTCCAAAGCAAAAATAAAACAGGTGCATGTGTTGTGCTTACAACACACAATTCTGGTCAGTGCTATTGGCCCACTTTTGTAGCCCTTTCATTTGGCTCATTCATTTTGAGCTTTCTGTTTGGCGGAGTGTGCATAAGTTACCCCACGCGACTGCCCGGTGAGTCGCTCGACATTCGACTGGCTCAATAAGCATGTGTTATTGTTGTTGTTGCTTTTTACATGGGTACTCAACGGAAGTCTAATTAATTCTGCAGGAAGCACAGTTAATATGGTAATTTCCGGTTATTTGTACCTGCACACATGTATCTTCAGCACGGGCTGAGTGAATGGCAGTTGTGTGTATGTTCGGACATATGAAAACGTGATCATGTAGTACATGTGTGTGTGATCATATGTGAATTCATATACCATATAGGAGTGCGACTCATTTTGGGAATACGGATATTGGCAATTTTCAGTATTAGCGAACCATCTTTTTTCGCCAAAATTACGGTATATGAATTAAAATTTCGATTTATTGTGATCCTCAAAAAATTTTTTTAATTAGTTGCGCGCTCCTAAATGTAGGCAACATTTAATTTATTATGTTGATGATTTTATATCTGTTTATATTGCACCAAATATCCAAATAAAAATAAATTACAATTTGTTAAAATGAAATAAGTTCATTTAATGTAAATATGAAGTATTTCCAGCCGCCTTAAAAAATGTTGCATTTGAACTCAGTATTCGGATTGGGCGAGATTATTATCTATCGATTCCACTAATTGTTGATAGCTGGTCATTTTCTCTCATTCCTTTCGATATCTTCCTAATACTGCCAAGTCATCCTTACTAACAGAGTGATGTAAATATTGGTTTTTAGGGAGGTATGAGCGGTTATCATTATTATTTTATATCCAAACTATTTTGACGAAACCTATTTACAAAGTAGACAAGAAGAGCGTAAGTCATTATATTGGTCATAAGGGAAGTGGAAAAGCTATGGACCGATTTGAACTATGTTTAGATAATTGTTGCCAACATTTTGTTTCGATATCTTCATTGATTCTTGAGTATGTATATATATATATTATGCAACTACAATAAGGACCCGCTGCCCAATGCCCAATTCTAGACATTAATGAGAGTGGTTGTCATAATACTGCTAATGGTATGTTGACACCTTATCGTCATTAAAATGCCAATGTCGTCTGCATATGCCGCTATCTTGGGGACCTGGCAGTCGTTCCATTCTGCTCTTATCTTTAAAGAGATCAAGAGGTTTCTGATGCCCAGTATTGTAAGGCAGGATCTACTCATATTGACAGAAAAGATTCCGTAGACAAGTGATTGAATGCTCCAGAAATGAAACTTTTTGTATTCCCTAAATAGATCTTTATACTCAATCCAACAGCTCCTCGCTTTCCGCTAGCTTGGAAAAGTTGAAAAATTCCCGTACTCTGCGTCTCCGTACAGGGACTTTAATTATTTAACATTTTTTTTTTACTCGCATTGCAATATCCAGAGAAGTATGCCCTTCTTCTGATAATATTTTCATAATACTTAAAATTTTTCGATTGCCATTTCAGTTTTGTTACTTTTCCAACGCTTTTCCTAGTAGCACAAAACAAGATATCTGTCAGACAGTTACCAACGAAGCAAGCTCTCTTCAAATATTTGTAACACGTATCGATTAGTTAAAAGTAGTAAGGCTCTGCTTTGATGACTGCTCGATATGAGTTTTCCAACTACCACTTAAAACCACGTTTGCCTTAACAATTTCTTTGTTCTTGCTATTTTGCGTCCTTTGTGTTTCCTTGCCAATAGCCAAATATTCTAATCAAGCAAATGCACCCAAAACAATACCGTAATATAGGAAAATTTCTGTATTATAGGGTCAACAACAATAACAATAGCAGCAGCAGCATTAAAAAACAAGGCAACATAGCTGTAAACAACAATCGATGGTAGAAAGTTTTCACAACACATCAGCTCTCTTCGACTTTCTTCGCAAGTCAACAAATCGTGACACCCTTAACGGCGTAGGTGTACGAGGTGGACTGGAGTGGCAACAACTTCGGTTAGGGCTGAACATTTGCTTATTACCCTAAAGGGTAAGGTTGTAAGTTTAACTGAAGTGACAATCTGTGCTATTCTCCCACCACTCATGCAACATGTGCCTCATGCGACCCATCTAACTTTCATTCTCTCTGCCCTATCTTTTTGAAACAAAAGTTTCACGTATAATTTGTTCGCCAGCGTGTGAATTGCGAGATTGTTCGGGTTCAAGTTCTTTAAGATGAAATCGCACGTGTGTCAAGAGTGAGTCCATATGTATGTGTGATGTGTGCGTGTGGCTGCACTTACAAGTATACTTACGTGCATATAAATGAACTTAAGTATTAGTGCGCACTCGAAATCTGCCATTTCCTGCAACAAAGGTCACTATTTGCAAAATGTTAGAAAAGATTGCGCTACTCGAAACAATGAAGAAGAACGAACGTGCTATTAGTTTAGTTTGCAAAGAAATTACTGGCAATAAGCAAGCTCCTAAGCGTTTCAATTTTTTGCGAAAAGGTATTTTGAGTTTCTAAGATTTGAAGGAATCTGTTAGAATAGCTTGCGAGGAATTTAGCAAACTTAAATTTTCGCAAATAAAATAACTCCTCTTTGCTTTGAAATAAATTAAGATTCTATTTCTACAAGTGACAAACGAAGCAAAGCTTAATGTACTACCGTTTTATGGAATTTAGCGTTATTTTCTTTCACTCTTTTTTGAATTGCAAAATTCTCATGGCGTGAAAAGTTTGTGTCGCTACTTCCTCTTCCTTTGTCAGCACTTTCCGTTTTTTATGCGCTGTCACACTAAGTTTTCGTGATAAGTTTTATGGCATGCTGAAATTTTAGCACTTCATACCAACGTACAATCCTTGCCCCTCCAATTTGGGATACATAGAAACAAGTTTTAATAATTTTAGAGCGTCTTAGATGCAGTGAAAAAAGGCGAACGTTTCACTCTACGCGGCAATTAACAAGATGGTAGTTCGCTCGGAGGAACGAGGAGTACAAACTACTGCCCTTCGAAATTTGTCTTTTTGCTGCTCTGCTTCCAGTCACAATAACAGTGAACAGGGTGATCAATTTAATTGCACTCTACTTTGAAATATTACGATACGTGAGCGTGAACTCGGTCTGAATTTCCTTTAGTTTAATTTTATTTTCGTAGCAGAAAAGCAGTCTCCTTACACTTTCTAACAAAGATTTTGCTGATCAATTGTTTTTCACTAACTTTAACTAATACACCCAGGAATTACACTCGCTTATAGGAACACGATAGAAAATCGCAAATTGCAGATTGTATTAAATATATAGTGTGTATGGTGAGTAGGAATATATTATTATATAATAAGAAATAAGTTATTAATTTTGTAGGTGTATAAGCTTAGAAGAAATTACTTATAATTAAAAATCTACAAAATAATATTATATAACGGGTTTTGTATGTCTACAATGACCATTGCCAAGTTTTTTTAAATCTCTTTCATTTGTGCTTAATTTTTTTAGCTCACACTTGAAGCATTAGCTTTAACAAATATGATTAAATAATTTTGAAATATTCCAATTC